TTACTTTATTAACGAAAATCACAATTCCAGATTCGTTTCGCATTTTTATTACATCCTGTAGATACTGTATTGTCGTGCTGGAGCCGCGGGACTCTTAGCGGGTTGGGATTCTAGTACCACCCTAGCTTATCCCCTTAGCAGCCTCCTACTTGACGTAAGTTTCACCCCTTAAGGTCGAACCATATACAGCTTGCCCACATTCTTGTAAACAAATATACTTCTGGCACTGTATTCAGCTTCGCATGCTGTGTGAGATATGCCTCTATTTCTGTGGCATCCCACCTGTGTCCACTAATTATTCCTTCTTCTTTACGGTTCTGCTTCTTTGTCTCAAGCAAAGAAACTGGCTTAAACTCTTGTACATTCAAAGTACCTTCTTCGTCCAAAGTCTCTATAATGTTACTTTAAACGATAGTAACTAACTATGAATTTTCCGTCTCCAGCGAGTCCTTGCCTTAGCAACGATTCAGTGCTTCAGTGAAGGCCCTTAGGTCTTCCTGTCCAATTTGCACTTTTCCCTGGTACATAAACTGTAGCAAGCCTCCTAGTGTCTCGCAAGTTACGTTTGTCAAATCACTATAGGACGTTGACAACGATTCGACTCAAATTTTCTTTAATATGGGCCACAGCCCAAGAACCACTTACGTGCTTCTATGCATTTTCCTTGCGATGCAGCTCTAACGCCTACTAAATCTTGATTGTTCCATAATGGATCCATTCCCGAACTCATAGTTCGTGGAAATCATTCCAAAATAGTGAAAAAGATTTTCTGACGCTACATCCCATTTAAATTTTCTTTAAATATGGACCAAAGCCCAAAGAACCACTTTAAGTGCTTCTATGCATTTTCCATGCGATGCAAGCTCTACGCCTACAAAATATTGACTCTTCCATAATGAATCCATTCCCTAACTCATATGTTCATGGAAATCATTCCAAAATACTGATAAAGATTTTCTGACACCACGGTCAATTATCTTCCAAAGCTCCATTAAATTCTTTTCCCTCTTTTATATGTCCATCTCAGTATGATGTGCCAATTTATGAAGTTAACCAACAATTGTATAAAGAATTAAATTTTTGTTAAAATAAAGAACTTAGAAATATATGATGCCGAACTTAAAAAAAATCTGTAGGAAATATCAAATAATCAAATCAAATAATAATCGATCAATCAATCAATACTTAGATATCAACTAAGCTGTTTGTATTTATTTTTTTGAAAAATTAAACTCTATTAAATGCTTTTCCTTTTTATAAATGAAACGCTATTTTTTCAATTCCAAATATCCCATAATTATTAGTTAAACAAAGTCATATCTAATTTCTCAGTGTATCATTTAAGGAATTTGCCAACACCAGCGATTTACATCGTAATTCTTTACTTCGCGACGCTTCTTTTTAAGGTCAACATAATGTTTTTCAACACACAAAATCATATTTTTTCACTTGCACTTGTTACATTAAACAAAAGAATTTGATAAAATGTAAACAGTTAGTAAAATAATACTCAAAGAATTTATATTTTGCGCTTTTTGAAAGCCATAAACTGTACACTCAAATGAACTTGATCTTGACCTACTAACTTAAATTCTGTACTTTAACTACTAAATAGAACAATAATGGTTATTTCTTGAATCAATTATATTTCATTCTTATATTCGACTGATAATTAATAATTTCCTAAATTCGACTGATAATTTACGAAGTTAAAAACAATTATATGAGAACATCATATAATGTGTTAGTATGTATTTTTTGAAAAATTTGTACTTGTCATCTCTTCACATATATCATAAAAGCAATTCACCTATCTTAATATTTAGGATTCTAGGTTTCTAGGAAGGGATCGATATGAGGCCATTCTCCAGTGATACAAGACAAAAAAAAATCTACTATATACGAATAATTTGTGTAAAACTCCTAACAAGTTTATATAACAAAGAGAGAAAAAGGATTTTCTTCCAGAAAAGGGAGTCCTGCACTCCACACAATATTTACTGGATACCTCACTGTTTCTTTAATCTGTTGTCGTCTTAGGAAAGAGAAGAAAAAAAATTGGAATGTCACTGGCGAAATGAAACGATGAAGGCTTCTTATAGCTACAAAACTTGCAAAAGTTTACAAGGATACTGAAGAAGTGACTTAATTATCCCTATTTACCGAAATTCCCCCAAACCGGGACCGCTGTCACCAATGTAAAAATCAGATTTACGAGAGTGATAAGGGAAACGAGAGAGGGGTTAGGGAACTTCTACTTAAGGGTCCTGTAAGAGGCAGAAGAGAGCGAGAGAGTGAAGAGCTTGACAGTACAACTAATATATAATTTCAGGTTATGTATAAGAAATCTGTTACCTTATGTGTATATTAGGGCTTCAACCACGACACGTTCAGTCTTCTGGAACTCGGTCAGTTGAGGGTTGCGAACTTTCGAGCTGCCACAATAACCGGACTACACGCGAATTCTGACAGAAGATACCCGGCCCCCGGAAAATCACCGACTGCCTGGCTACCGTCGTTTTTTTCTGTTTTATTGTGGTCGTACTTTCAACGCCGGTTCTAGTACCAAGGTCGTAGGTTCGCTGAGTTGCAGTTTTGGTATTATTGCTGCCTATTTGGGTCACGGATGTTTCGTGCTTTTATACGTTTAAACAATTATCAAACAATGCAATAACTAGGTCAATTGTTATACTTTGTATAATTTAAATGTATAAGTTAACTGTATTAATTATCCCTTATTTAATTTGGAATATATGATAATTATCTCGAATAATTATTATCTTTTCTATGCTACTTATTGTTCCATTATCCCTTTATTCCAACTTCTCACTCACTTGCTACGCTTACATTACACCATTAAATGTTAGAATAAGTGAACATCAATCTTATATTAAAAATAAAGAATTTGATAGATCTCAAATCTGTAAACACGCATGGGATAATGAACATAGGGTTCAATGGAATAATTCAAATGTAGTCCTAAAAGAAACAGATGGTAAAAAAAGAAAAATCAAAGAAGCGGCTCTAATTATGCTAAATGAGGTCAATTGTGTCGCAAATTCCTCGGCAGAATGTAGTAGGATCTGGTTACCAATATTAAAAGAGGAAGTTATTAATAAGAAAATACCAGTATTAGTAAGTCAGTAACATATAGAGGATACATCATTTATGTTTTTTAAATAACGTAACATATTAAATCAGAATTTTGATGTTTGTTGAAGTAAACTAAATTCACGAACAAATACTTACAATGTCGGGATAGTATTATAAGGTTTTTTTCCTGGTTTTCCCTCATAATTTACTATGGAATCACTAACAGGGGAATTTTACTGTCATCATGTCATGTGTTTGTCTTTTTAAAGACGAATTACATACTATGATTTTTTTCTGACGGATATTCTCAAGTTAAAGTTGATTTCATGTAATCGAATGAACTATCTTATAAGTAAAGTCGTCCCAGGAGCGCAACTAACAATATTGGCAATATCATTTTAAAGTCATCTACTTTAAAATGCATAATGTTTGTCTGAATTGTCAATATAAATGAGTCAGATAAAATTAAATTATTAGAAGAATTTTTCACTATGTAACAAAAAACAAAATTTGTTTAATTTACTGTTTGTATTTTGAGAACGATTTCCGAAGTGGAAATTGAAACGTCAATAAACGTATTTTTATCTTTAATTGTGGCTTATTCCCAGTTTAATAGTAATTAAACTAGATTAGATCACGAATAAAAGATCATAACAAATAAGGTAAAACAGAGGTTATAATTCTAATTAAGGTTAAATATTAAGCTTACTTTTGCAAATAAATTCCATCAAACATTCATTTTCAACTCTTATATTTAGAGATAGCAGATAGCACATATTGTACGGAGGAAAAATTTTGATGTTGACTAAATTTTTTATTAGATCTTCAGTTTGTTTTGTATATTTTTTCATTCGAAGAAAATATGATTTAGATCACCTTCTTTTTGACAGTCTGGACATAAATTTGAATTTACGATTTTTAGTTTGGACAGATGACTAGGATAGCAGGCATGTCCAAATTTTATTCTAATTATGGATGTTATATACCTTCGTGGAACAAAATAATTTTGAACCAATAATCACTTGGGATTGAAGGCTGTATAGAAGCATATGCCGAGGAAGAATGTGTATTAGAACATCATACATTATGTAATCAATGTTTTTCCATGGATTTTAAGTTAACTGAATTAACTACGAAAATTTACTATAATAATATTCACAAAAAGATGATTTCCTGTAGACGGCAATACTTGCAAGCACTCTTGACCATGTAGCTACGCGAAGGCGGAGTCAAAATTAACGTAAAGGCAGGACTCGTAAGCTAGCGGGGACAAATGAGCGGAATCCAATTTAACCTACGTAATATTTTAAAGAACGTATTATATTTTAAATCACAGAATGTTTTCGGAATAAATATTCCATCTTCATCTAAAATAAGTATAGCCGCTTACACTCCTAGTAGATTTACCTTACACTCCTTTTACCGGTAACGGTAGAAGGTACGATAATTATTCAGGGAAAAAAGAAAAGAAACGTAGTACTGGACGACGATGAACATTCTGTCTCAAAAACATCTGCCAGCGGTAAGAAACCAGCACCACAACACTATTTAGGTTCGCTGCGGACAAAGTATAGTTCATGCGACTGGTTGCCAATGTTCTTGAACGACAAAGCACTTAAAGAAGAAGAAGAAGAGGTTCCTATGTCCCCCCTCTGGTTACTAAAACTCCTCGAATCTATATACAGCCTGATAATGCTGATACTTTAAACATGCTATTCCGTGCTCCAATATTAAAAACTTATATATAAAAACTTATTATATATTAACTTTAGATTTAATGATAAAATAATCTTTTTTGTAAATCAGTACTTTAATTATAGTATATGTTTATTCTCTTTACGATCTTCAGATCTTGGAATTTAATAGTCTATTGAACTAATAATATATTTCTTTATTTTTACTCTTAGTAGAAGGAGCTGGCTCAATAACTAACGTTTGGTCCCAAGACAGCTACATGTTTTCACGACAAAAATATGGATTCTATGAACCAGAAACTCTACCAGATACTTCAGAAGACGATATTCCTATTAAAAGTCCAGATGAAACACCAAGGATACGTCAACCATTACCAACACCGACACCGCCTAAAGTCAAGCCAATAACGCCTATGATTCCACAACGACAGCCTGAGTCATGGGAGACATCTACTCAGGACATTAATACGTCATACAATCCAGATACAAAGTAAGTATATCCAAATATTTTACTATTGGACCGTGCAAGTTCGGAAGAGTGACACCTGGTGTCGAAAATCAGCAAAATTTACTGCGCTTTCATGTTAGATCGAGGTTACCGGATAACTGTCAAGGACGTAGCCCCAAAAAAGAATAAGAAGAAAAAGCAAGATTGAGGTTATGTCGGTATGTTATTAAAAGGTAAACGTTGTATGTAGTGTAAATACAAATAAATACATTATTAAATTACAGCATTACTGTTAATAAGGATGCAATAATAAAAACTGGATTTGAGAAAGTAAATCACCAAATAACTTTTCAACCAAGCACTGAGTCAAAGGGAAAAGCTTTAGTAGTGGCAAATTATGTTAAGAATGTGGAAGAATTAAGAAAAAATGGACAAAGCTATGTAATACATAGCTAAACTTAAAGTTACATTAGCATTAAACTTGATTTTTGGGTTAAAGTGAACTCTAAGTGAGTGTTATGAAACTAAAATTTTCACTTAAAAGTGAACTTTTATTTATTATTTATTTCAAACTGACTTTAAAATCGGGCGCAAGAATAATGCATAATTTAGGTTATGTTATTACTTATGCTTTTTTATGATATAAATCCACTTTTCTTTGTAGTAATTTGTGCTTCGAAGTTGGAAACGAATAAAACTTAAATTGACAATTTTTTGTTGTATTTTTACAATTTATAACACAGCATTTACTAAATCCCATTTTCTTCAGTGACAGAAGGTGTAAATAAACAAACGAATATGAAATATGACAATTGACAATTGACAATATGAATTTATGAAATCTATGAAATGTGCAATAAAAAATGCAAGATTTCTCCGCTACTTGCGCACGATCGTTTCTCGTATCACATCCAAGTACTTGCACGTCGCCAATAGAACTCAATTAAACCCTCTTTTTTAATGGATATGCTTAACAAACAGAGGTATGTATGTTAAAATTATGTGAGATACGAAGTAGAGGTTGGGTGTGTACGTTATGTGGGTGTTTGGAAAAGTAGAAATGCATTCAACTAAGGTCGTATAAACGCTTAGTAAATTTTATAAATCTTTTGAATAAAATAAAAATGAGCAATAGAATAGAACGAATAGAAATGTAAGCAATAATGTCATTAAATAATTTTAGCGAGTCTAGCAAGCGTGTTAAAGAAAACTTATATTTCTTATAATTGCTCATTTTTTATATAAAAAGGTAAACAATTTTAAAAACTTTCATCTTTAAATGAAAATACAGTGTACACCAAAAAAGCTTACTTTATCATAACTCTTTTATCTTTTATGTTTAATTAAATTTCTATATTTTATGTATGTGGATGTGTTAAACATTTTAGTGCGCTTTGAGAAACGTTTTGTATTTTCTGGTATCCACCCTGTTTAGTTAGCCATTTGTCTTAAGATTAATGTTGAATCGGTTTGGAATATGTATGTCCTTTTTTAACCTTCTTGTTCTCTGCAGGTAGCGGGTAGAAACTCCTTTAAAATCCCTTGGATTCTATTGGATAGCCCTATCAGGAAAAGTGAATTAATCGCTACCCTTCGCAGAGTCCAGTAGCTTCTTAACCCGGGAAGCTAGCACTTGCTAAGGATCTCTTGTCCAGGGTCACGAATGAAGTCCATAATGGCATCCAAGGCGACGAATAAATACTTTTGGTACGGCAAAGATGGCGGAATTGGCAACCCTTGATTTTAGGGGATAGTATAAGACCACAACCCGCGCTGTCTAATCCAGAGTGCCCGGCCGCAAACAGCGTCGGACCCAAAATGGGCGGCTGCAACAAACACTCACCAATATTTCTAGCTAGCGTGGTGTTTAAACGCAATACCCCTTACAAGTTAAAAAGTCGGTTGAAAACACACGCAGATACCCCAGACAAGTAGGAAATTATTTCCGCAATCTTGCACTGATAAATGATCAGTCTGTCCCATGGATTCTGGGGGGACAAAAAATAAAAAAGCACAGAAAAAAGTTACCCAAAGAAGACTACACTTTATATAGGAACATATAATGCACGTTTCCTACTATCCGATAAAAGACTTACTGAACTTAAGTGCGAACTAGAATACATAAAGTGGGACATAGTCCGGTCTCGTGGTAATTACTTCAGCGTGGCAAAAGTCAGAAGACGTTGCGATTACTTAATTAAACTAAAATCAGGACATAATTTTTACCACATAGGTGACGACGTATCGTCACCTATGTATATGTCGAAAAAATGATTTTTTTCCGGCGACAACTGTAATGCTTTGATCGGTAACTTCATTTACACTACTTTTATAATTTTTATTAATATCACTTATAATGATACCTAAAGTTAAAATCAAAGCTTAATAATCATAAAATAGTGGAAGTTGTCTATGATTTTCTTAGTTCTTGCTCACTAATTAACAATAAATAACATTTAATTTACTTTAGACCACATGGTCATTTGCTGTGCTAATTTTTATAAGTTCATATATGTTGTTAGTTACTTAATTGTTTATACAAGATCAGCGTATTATGTCCATTTACTTAAGTTTCATTCACATTATTGTTAATAACTTTGACTGCTACATGTCTTTTAGATGAACTGATGATGCTTTCAAAACTCGAAAGCGAACGTCTTCAAAATAGATAAAGTAGCCTATCAACTTTGTCTTTTATTTCTCCACCTAGAGACCGATAATAAGAACCCACCACTCGTCTGAGTGATCCTTATATATATTGTATTGACGGTCGTACTCCTTTTTCCGATATATTATATATATATATAATATATATATAATATATATATATATATATATATATATATATATCATATTCTCTCCTGTTTAAATATAGTTGTAGATATTGCTTTAATAAAATGTTGATATAAGAAAGATACAGGGTGTTTAAGTGGAAATTTAAAATTCTAATTTTCGCTATAACTTTTATGTTTGTGAACATTTATGTACAAAAATTTGTAGAGGGCGTCCAATATGCCACACATGGGGCATATATTTGCACTTAAATTTTTTGCTCTTTTTAAGTTACCGGTGTTTGCGATAAAAAATATTAAAGATACATTATTTTAACAAAAAGAAAGATATACTTGTTAATAACTTTTTCGAGATAATCTTATTTTAAAAATCAACTACATAACTGAAATTTTGTATAAGATGCCTTTAAAAAAGTTAATAGTTAACGAAATATTAAATAAAATAAATATATCAGCAGGATAATTTAGAAAAGGATTTGACAAAATAACATGGATTTTACATCAAACATTTTACGTTTTATATTAAATTAAACTCATAACCAAAACATGTTTATTTACAAACCAAATTAAGAAATAGTTAAACTAAATAACATTAAACTTTTTGTCAAAGTAAGGGTTCGATATGTCTACCATTTTCTTTAATTCATTTGTCAATGCATTGCATAAAAGATCGTCTCATATTAAATAGCATAATTTGTTCTAGAAAAACTGCTGCAGTATTTATTATAAGTATTCATCATTCAATCTTTGCTTATCCACTGCTGGACATAGATCTCCCTCATAATTTTCCATCTATTCCTATCTTGTGCCTCTTAATCCAATTCCTATGACAACGTTTTAGATCGTCAGTCCGACGTGTTGGTGGACGACCTCTGCTTCGGTAGGCATCATCTCTTGGTCTCCATTCCAGTATCCGCTTGGTCCATCTGTTATCAAGACACGTGACCTGCCCACTTCCATTGCAGTGTTGCTACTCTCTCTACTGCATCAGCCACCCCTGTTCTTTGTCGTAGCTGGCGATTTGGGATCTTGTCTCATAGTGAAACGCCCAACATAGCACGCTCCATCGCCCCTTGACACACACGGATCTTTTGAAAAGTTCTCCTTGTCATGGTCAACGTTTCCGCACCATAAGTCAACACTGGCAAAACACACTGATTAAAGGCTTGTCTTTTAAGTCATATTGGTATATCAGACGATTTGAAAATATGGTTCAGCTTGCCTAAGGCTACCCAAGTCTGTCTTATACGACGGAGAAGCTCAACGGTTTGGTTATCTTTTCCTATGCGGATCTCATGACCTAGGTATTTATAAACCATTACCTGGTCTATGGATCTTGTTCCTACGCATATACCTTCGCTGACTACAAGATTTGTCATCATCTGGGTTTTAGATATATTTATTTTCAATCCCCATTCTATCGAGGAAAGGTAGAGCTGATTTAAAAGTTCTTTGGCCTCATCTATCCTATCAAGCTATTAGTACAATATCATCTGCAAACCTTAGATGACTAAGCTTTTCTCCGTTTATGTTTATGCCCTTGTCGATCAGTTTTGCTACTTTTATATATATAATATATATTATATATATATATATATATATATATATATATATATATATATATATATATATATATATATAATATATATATATATATTCCCAAAAGCGTAGTGAACAGTTTTGGCGATATGGTGTCCCCCTGGAGTACTACACGTTGTATCGGGAATTTCTGGGTTTGACGATCACCCACTCTAACACTATCTGTTGCGTTTTGGTTATGTGTTTAATTATATTTTTATACCGATAGTCAATCCGGTATTCTGTCAAGGCTTAAAACATTTTTTGTTGATTTACTGTGTCGAATGCCTTTTCATAGTCGACAAATGATAACGCTAGCGGTTTTATTATATTCAGTGCATTTTTCTATAAGATTTTTATTTACCAGTAGGTGATCGTTTGTTCATAGCCTTTCTAAAACCCGCATGTTCTATGGGCTAATAAAATTTCAATTTATTTTCTAGTCGTTTCGTATTATTTTTGTAAATAGTTTAAAAAATATGTGAAAGTAGACTTATGGGCCTGTAATTCCTGAGGTCGGTAGCATCCCCTTTTTTATGAAGTATGATCATTTCTGCGTTATACCACTAGGTTGGTGTTATTGCTTTCTGCAAACATCTAGTGAATAGTTTGGCATGGACCTGCCATAATCTTTTTCTAGCCACTTTCAAGGCATCTGCCACTATTTCATCGCCTCCGGGGACTTATTGTTTTTCATTTCTTGCACTGACCTTCAAATTTCATTGGATGTTACGTCCGGTAAAATTTCAGATCCCTGATTGATTATCTTTGGTAATGTGTTCGCCCTCGTGGATTTACAAGAGAGTAGGAAAATCTGGAAAAAGGGTTAAGGACTTCCAGGTCCTGTAAAGAGTTGAGTCTATGGGTTTACTTTAGAAGCCGGAGAAATGCATAAGCGGAAATTGTGTACTCTTCTAGTATCTGCCTGTAAACGGTCGGAAAGGAACAATAAAACCAAGTTTCGAGTCTATAAATGTATTAAATAGAGTGTATACTACAATTAATTTAACAAGCTGTCAGTTTAGAGACCTAACAGAACAGTTAGGGACCTAACCTGTAACAGAAGAGACCTTAGCAGGAAATTAAAGGGTGGACAATCTGCGTTTTTACATATTACTTGGGTTAGTATTTAGATTTAGTTACCTTCGCGTATTTAGGACCTAGCTAATGAATATGTCCTTCAGTCCTACTGCAATTCAGGTTCAGTTGTAGAGGCACCGCGCGCTATCACGAGTTTTCGAAACTCCGGGTACCCAGCTCTTATACAGTACTATTATCCCATAGAAATACAATAGCGCGCTCACTTGATCACCCGTGATCGACGGTTCCACTCTTACTAGACCTCATTTACCGAGGTCGAGCTTTTGCTGACTCAGTACTCATGCTTCAACCGGGTTAGGCAGCGGTGTCATTTTTCAACAAAGGCTTCTGTTTTTAAACGTGATTTTTTTCTTTTAAACAATTGTTGCAAACTGATATTGAACTTGTGTAATACACTTAAACTAGCTCGAGTTATCATTATTTGTTTAATTTGAAATGTATACGTTATTATGTCGAATTATTTGTTCTTTATTCGATTTGGGATATGTTCCCATACATATATATATATTATATATATATATATATATATATATATATATATATATATATATATATATATATATATAATACATATATATAATATGTATGTATATATTAAATATATATATATATTATATATATATATATATATATATATATATGTTAGTTTGAAGTGTTTCACGGATGGAGGTAATATGTTGAACTAATTATTCCGGGAAAATATCCGTTGGTCATTTTTTTAATTGCAGAACGTTTCGCCAAGGTCTCACTTGGCATTTCTGGTGCGTGTCTTCGGTCTCGTAGTCGGTAACTGAATGAGCTGCGCTCAGTCCTCACTTCTTTTATATCGTGCGCCTGTTCGAGCGGATCGTCGCTGATTGGCCCGTATTCGTTACGCCGCTAGGGCCCCGCCCCTGGGAGAGCGAAGCTCAGGCAGTCAGTTTGATGTTGGCGTCTCGAGATTATGGACTTCCAAGCTTGGAAGTCCATAATCTCGAGACGCCAACATCAAAACTGACTGCCTGAGCTTCGCTCCCCAGGGGCGGGGCCTAGCGGCGTAACGAATACGGCCAATCAGCGACGATTCCGCTCGAACAGCGCACGATATTAAAAGAAGTGAGGACTGAGCGCAGCTCATTCAGTTACCGACTACGAGACCGAAGACAACGCACAGAAGATGCCAAGTGAGACCTTGGCCGAAACGTCTGCAATTAAAAAATGACCAACGGATATTTTTCCCGGAATAATTGTTCAACATATATATATATATATATATATATATATATATATATATATAATATATATATATATATATATATATATATAATATATATATATATATATATATATATATATATATATATATATATATATATATATATATATATATATATATATATATATATAAGTTTTACCACTTTTATTCCCCGGGCTTCCGCCCAAAACCCACCGCAGGGGGGTAAAAGCACAAAAAAATCAAAACGCAGAATTTAATGTTTTACAAGAGAAATGCATTTAAGAAGTCGGTTTTGGGTGTAGTTTATTGCATTAGTTTTGTTCCTTTGAAAAACGTACTAGTGTAATTAAAACAAAAGTTTTAAATGTTTTAGATCATTTGTTGAGTGTAAGTTTAAATCCAGCGTTTTTAAGCATATTTCAAATGTCTCACATTTGTTGCCAAAATTCAAAACTAAAATTTCATGCTATAGGTTTTAAATAAAGGGTAAGCTCTAGTAATTAAAACTTCATTGTTACCAGTCAATCAAGGAAATATATTATAATGATATCGTGAGCTTTATAAAAAATGGCAAAAATCGCGTCACCCTTGATTTATTTAACACCTGTATAAAATCTGATTTCATTTGCTGCAAAATACAAAACCTTTAAACCAAAGCTAAACTTTTGCTAAACTCCCTTTAAAAACGCATCTTGATCTTTGTCGATAAATCACTTGAATCAAAAGATATTGAATTTTTACCGTCGAGCTGATACAAATTTTATTGAACATTGATTTTCGCGCGCGTACCTGACATGCAAAATCAACGGTCTCTTCAAGCTTATAAACGTTACTGTTTAAAATTATCTTAGATACATTTTTTATTTGACATTTTTTTTTTCTACGGTGTTCAAGTTCTTGGTAAATTTATTTCTTTGCATTTTTACCTTCCTGCGAGGAAGGTTTTAGGGGGAAGCCCGGAGGTAAAAGTGATGAACTTTTTTGAAATCTTGAGTCCCAAAATTTTTATTCTGTGCAAAATGCATCTTGTTTGTATAATTTTTAGAGGTTTAGTGGCATTTTCTCTGGTGACTGGAGTACTAGCACAATCTCTTATTGATGAAAAAATGTACAAAAAAATGACATCAAAGATAAAAAACTTCAATGAAAATAAATAAAGAAAATCATCGATTTCAAACAATAACATAAACCTTAATTGTTAATTTATAAACAAGAATAGTCTGGTCATTTGCCTTTACCAAGGCCAAAACTACAAAAAATAATGGTTTTTATTAGTCATAGAAAATTAATCCAATTAAGCCGATAGGGAATTAAGTCCAGCCTGTTCTTTGATATTTAATTTATAATTATAAAATATCTTTTTAACTAAACAAACTGAACAAGCAATTATTTATGTAAAAAATAGCAAAAAACCCAACAGCAACTTAACCAATTCTGTTTCGTTTTCAGAGAAATCAACGAATTATTTTTCAATCCATCCAAATGCGGAGTGGCAGGTGGTAGCGAAGTACGTCTATATGGTGCTACTGACACTAAACTTGGACAATACCCTTGGCTGGTTGCTTTGTTCTGGCAAAGTGGATTCAATTTCGACTACAAATGCTCTGCAACATTAATTTCAAATAAACATGTCCTGACCGGTAATATATTTCACACTTTAATTGCATGAAATTTTGAATATAATATAAATTTATAAATTACATCTGTATTAACTGTATGGCTAGATCCTGACATAGCAGAAAGAAACAGTTTTATTTAGAAAGGCAATTATATAAAATACAATTCAGTCCATCTTCAGGTTCCCGAGTAAATGATATTTACCCTTTCCAGCCCAAATAATTATTTTTTAATAAATTTTGTTGAAAATAATGTATGTTATAGGAAACGAAAAATAAAAATTGTTGATAACTTTTGTACACATTTTGCATCCTATAGTCTTCAAGCTAAAAAATTATCCAATTTGAAATTATCTGGCGTTAATTATAAAATTGACTATAAATAGGAAATACGTTTATATATGGACTTTATTATTAAACAATTAATTTTGTACATGGAAACATAAAAACAATTTTTATTATTGTTTAAACAAAAAAAACATTGCTTGGAATATTTTATTCTAGAGTAAGACTTTATACATAATTTGCACCTTGTGTGACTTTGATCATGTAGTGGCCAGTGTTGTACGCCATCAAATCGAACATCAATCGAACCTGTGCAGGTGTAATACTGGCGGAGTTAAGACTGCTGTAACATCCTCGGATTAAACTTTAAAGGATGCTTATCTCTGCGAGCGGAGGCAAGGCTTTCTAGCTCAACTAGTCTGAATGGACGTGGTTTCTCCCTCGTTGATTTACAAGAGGGTAGGAAAAAAACAGGATAGGGGCTGAAGGATACTCCGATGCAGGCCCTGTAAGGAGTCATAGGTTATTGACTTGCTTTAAAAGCCGGAGATAATGCATAAGTGAAAAATGTGTTTTCTTCTAGTCTCTGCCTGTAAACGGCCGAAAGTAACAATAAAAACAAAATTTCGAGTTTACAATATATTAATAGACTGTATACTACAATTCAGATAACAAGATATCATTATAACCAATAATGATTCGATCAGGCGCGAAGGCCCTAGCTAATGAATACTCCCTTCAGTCCTACTGGAATTTAGGATCAGATAGATTAGGATTTGTTGAGTACCGCGCTATCAACAAATTTTCGAAACACCAGATACCGAGCACTTATACGGTAACTCTCCCCGTCGAATTACATAGCACGCTCACTGGCTGCGTATGCCCCGATCGCCTGTGCTTCTGGCGTCGAGCACTCTCAGGTGCCTCGTTCTTACTAACTCTCCTAACCCGCTTCGTTCGTTTTTATGAGCCCGTATTCTCAATTACCGATCACAGTACCAAGGTCGAGTTTTGCTGACTGACTCCTAGGTCTATGTTTTAAACGTGATTTTTTTCTTTTAAACAACCGTGGCGACCTGATATTGAGACTCGTGCAATACACTTAAAACTAATCGAGTTTCATTTCTTTGTTTAATTTGAAATGCATACGCTAACTATGTCGAATTATTGATCCTTATTAAATTTGGAATATATAATAATTATTTAAATAATTATTACTCTTTTCTAGGCTACTACCCCTTATTTTTTTTATTTCCTTGCTATGTTTACATTACACAGGATGCAATACTTGTCTCTTATTTGGTGTATTTTCTTTAGAAGGACGTCCTCGTTTTTTCGTGTCGGACTTTCCAGCTTCGGCAACGCATGTACAACTTTAGATTTGAATTGAAGAAGGGTGATGTGTTTTACTTGTTTTTGTTTGTTGTCTTCGGAACAGTAACCCAGAATTGACAATACATATACCAATTATTATTAAATAGAATCTTTTTAGTTTGATTTTGATTCTATATAGTTCCACATTCTTGTCATGCAAATCCACACCCCCATCGAAATATTATATTCTTGGACAATTGCTGGCCGTTCGATTTCTACATAGGTTTTGATTTGTTAGACCATCTCTTTACGTTATCAAGATATTTTCCTATATAATTTAATGATAATATGACGGAGTATTGTCATACCATTTCAGAGCAGTAATAATTTTTTTTTTGCTGTCTATGTTTACATCGGAGGATCCACGACCTTTTACATAAGAACCTTAGAACGTCGTCTTCTGTAAAAAAGACAACCTGCCAGCCGTCCACTTCTTACAGTCCCTCGCAAGGAAACACTCCGTTCTATTCAGACTAATAAATAGTTATCAGATTGTCGATGGAGCCAATTATCCGTGAAAATCTTGAAATTCATGTGTTTGGCAGATTTCTGGCAAACTGCAGTTTCATTTTCCCACTAATTCCAAGACCTGATTCATCTTGGACTGTTTATTTTCCCACATATATCTCAAAATCGTATAGTATGCCGCTGCGTCCTGCTCTTGCAAAACTTTTATGCCCGTTTATGAAGTTTATTTTTTATATATTCCTTTAGATTACTATGTTCTTTGAATGGTAGAATAAAGTCATCGATGCTGTTGAATTCCTCAAATTCTATCTTATTCATATATTGCCAAAATCAGCTATTGTATTTTATCGCGTTTCTTCTACCCAATACATTCTATACCAAGAAACACAAACAATTCCACTCAATACATGTTTGCCTAGGAACTGCTCCATCTTTGCTGCATTTGTATCAATATTTTTACTGTCTCTTTGCATAGAGTACAAGTTTATTTGCTTGGCAAAATTTTGAATTATATCATTGTCACAAAACATTTTAAAATATTGGAAAGGCGTATAAATATATTCATCAACCGAAAAATCACCACTGTATTCGCTGTTTACATAAATTAAATTGTTGTCTGTCCAAGTTTTCTTGGCATGACTTGTCTGTGGATCTTCTTCAACTTTAACTCAACAGTTTTTTCTTTCATATTATCTGTAACTTTGGTGTTCAGGCTATCTTGATAGAGTGAACAATCAAGTATCAACAAAAATATTGAAAACAATATTTTTCCAATAATTCTTCTATTTGAGTTTTTTCAATCATGTCTTCTTTCAAAGTCTCTTCCTCATTATCAACATCAAATTCGATGTCAGAGTCGTCAAGAAGACCAACTACCTCTTCCTGGGACAGATGCAATTCCCGAAAAGAAAGTTTGGTTTTGTATAGTTTTGAACACAAGATCCATCTGAAATAAAAAAGTATATTGTACGTTTGTATTTTAATTGACAAAAACAAAATTCACACGACCCATTTGGAGACCCTCCACAATGGCCCAATAATTCCATTTGGATTCATTGATATGTATAATAATATATTTACATAAACAATATTGTTAATATGAGCAAATTATAATGCAAATTATCAAATAAAAACAATGTAAGAAGCAAACTTAATTTTTCCGTGCGATTACTGGTTCTCAATTACTCACCTCTAAAATGATTTGAAATTTACAGTGAATTTGTTTCACTACGAAGATTTACATTGAAATGTGACTAACGCTTACTGATAGAATTGTCAAATAAATTAATGCAGCGTCATCTATTAGGAAGGTGAGGCAACGTAATACCGTTCGCCAAATCGACATAAGTAGTTTCCTTTGCCGCTAAAGCAGAAAACATTGCTATGATCCCAAATGGGATCATCTGACTGAAAAAGGGTTAATTACTAAAAAAGGAAGTACAGGTAATGGATTTTGATAAGAGCTATGACCTTGTAAATAACAGGTAAATTTGTGTACTGCACCCACATGACTCATAGCTCTTGTCAAAATCCATTACCTTTACTACAGTGTTTATAGATTTCTAAGTATATATTATGCCAATACCAAACCTAGTTTATAAGATATAAGTTGTTTCAAGTATACTTACATAACGAAAAAAATGGGAAAGTTAAAGTAAGAACTCTATTTGCACGAATCTGAAAGAACAGTATTAATGGAAGAACCATATTATTGCAAATAGAAGGACAATATCTTAATGAAATACTTTAATACAAGGTAATAATTATCTCGTAAATTGCTAGTATTAATTTTAAAAATTTGTGATACACCTATTTTGGGATATGGAGATTCCCATAATTGATATTTGCAATAGTGCCAGATTTGCCATTTCTCTTATAATATTAGTAACTTTGGTTTTTCAAACTTATCACCCTGTATATTCAGTCATTATTGGAATCTCCTATTCATTACGAGTTCAAACATGTGTAACACTTATGCTTTTATGTAGTCTGAAAGGTCTTAAATACATAAAACAGTGCAAAATATGTAGATTTTATTAAATTTAAATATTTGAATGTAGAATGCTGTGATTTTGACATTATTTGTTCACCATTTACATGTTTAACTAAAATAGCCCAGTCGTCAGAGAGTTGACCCCTAAAAATTATACGAACAACCTGAATTTTACAGATAATATTAATTTTGGGACCCCAAAAAAATGCAGAAAAGTTCACCACTTTTACCCCCCTTGTAGGGGGGTAAAAACGCAAAAAAATAGATTTACAAAGAATCTGTACACCGTAGAAAAAAATATTTCAAATAAAAAATGTAGCTGAGATAATTTTAAACAAAAATAGTTATACCCTTTTTTTGCGTAGAATGAACCGTTCTCTTAGAAACAACGCTTGATGCAACCGTCGATTTATACCGAAAAAATTTCTGAAAAACTGACAGTAGTTGTGTTTCAAAAAGTTCTGCAAGATAAAAATGGTTCTTAACGAAAAAGAACGAATTATTATTCTAGAAATAAGAGGTTCTGGTGACAGAAAAAGATCTTGTTGTGAAGTAGCCAACTTGTTCAATGATACTTTCCCAAACCGTTCTCCTATTCATAAGGCGACGCGACGGTACAAAAAACTGTAAAGCGATTTGAGAAATCTGGAGAAGTAAAAGATAGATAACGATCAGGTAGACCGAAAAGACTTATGAATGAGAACAAAACTTTAGATATAATGCAAAGTTTTGTTGAAGATCCAAATACATCTTCACGCAGGGTTGCACAAGTACATGATGTAGTCGTGTATTACTTAAGAATAAATTTAAACCATAAAAAATTAACTTATTGCAAGAATTCAGTGAAGATGACTTCGATCGTAGATTAGAGTTTACTGAGGAAATGACGGGAATGATGAAAATTTCGTTAACCGAATATGTTTATCCGATGAACCAACCTTTACACTGTGTGGAAGTGTAAATCGACATAATTTAAGGTACTGGAGTGACATAAATCCACACTGGAAGCGTGAAAACCATACTCAAAGACCACAAAAATTAAATATATGGTCAGGTATAGTAGATACTCAGTTAATTAAGCTATTTTTTATCGAAGGAAATTTAACGTCAAATAGGTACGAAATGTTACTTAGAAATAAAAGTGTACCTACACTGAGAAACTTGTTTGGGGCCAACTTTAAGTAGCTATGGTGTCAACATGATGGAATTCCAGCTCATTTTGGTGTAAATGTTCGGCGTTATTTAGATGAGATATTTCCCGGACGATGGATTGATAGACGAGATAGAATTGAATGGCCTTCACGTTCACCCGACTTAAATCCTAAAAGATTATTTTATTTAGGATACTTTAAAAATTCAGTTTACAAAGCTAAACCAGCAAGTCTTGCAGGGCTAAAGCAAGGAATCATCGATGAATCTCGAATAGTTTCTAGACAATCATGAAGAAATATGGTAGACGCATTCTTCCATCGATTAGGGTACTAACAGATTTTAATCTTTAAATTGTTACGTTTTAATGTAGTTGAAAATAGTTACTATTAAAAAATTTATTGAGACCATTAGGCGTTGCCAAACTTCGGTTTTGTGTATTTAAGACCTTCCAGACTACATACTTATAAAGTGTTACATATAGTTGAACTCTTATTAAATAGGAAATTCCAATAATGACATGAATATACAGGGTCATAAATTTGAAAAACCAAAAACTAATAATATAAAAAAACAGCAAATCCGGCAACATGGCAAATATTAAATATGGGATTTCCGTATCCCAAAATAGGTGTACCTCAAATTTTGTGCAATTATTACCAGCAATTTAATACAGATAATTGGCCGTTTCTAGACTTTTGGGACACTATATAAAGAGTTAACAGTATTTACAAGTCTAGACATTATATTTCTTTTTCTTTGTGTTTCGTCTTGTCGTCAGAGGTTAAAAGTCTAAACCAGGATGTTTTTCTCTCTGCCTTGATTTCCGTTTGCCTTTCATTTTTCCTGCAATATTTTTTGCAGTATTACATATTTTGGTCCATTAATGACGTGTACAAACTATTCAAGCTTTCCTTTTTTTAAGGTACTGATTATTTCTATATTTTTCCCTAATCTGGAGAAGTTTTACATTCTTTACTTTTTCAGTCCATTATATTTTTAACATTCGGCGGTAACACCATCTTTAAAAGGCCGTAAGTTTATCCACTATAGTTTTTGTGAGTGAGCTTTTCTAAGAATTTGGAAGATAGAAGAAGAAGTATTGTGCTTAAGTTTTAGAAATTTTGAAATGACTTTATGGTCATTCATTGAGATCATATACACAAGTAGACACACAGTAGATTGTTATATGATTTAGTAAGCTGGTAAAATTCCTCCCCATAGAGACGAATAAAATGTTAAGAAAGATTTTCTCGGTTAATACAATTAAACCCATATCTAAGATTATTACTACTACAACAGCTAATATTAAACTCAACAGTCCTCTGGGTTGAACTGCGTCAATTATCATTGCTCCAAGCTTTCGACATCATTTACGATGTCTTCTTCAGAACTTTCGAGGTCTCGGAAAGTGGAGACTTCCACATTCCACAGACTACGTTTTTTGCTTTTTGTGACAATAAGTTGTTGCAATGACAAAATTAACTTAAATAGTGATTAAAAGAATAATTTATAAGTTATAGACTAGAGAATGTTATAAAAAATATTTATATGCGGGTATTTTTAAGAAATTAGCAAATAATAATAAGTGTAAGAAGTTTTATTTTATTTTACTTTATTAATAAATATATTTAAATGAGCCATGTGCATAGGCAACCAAATATACACTATATAATTAACATTTGGATGGTTGCTGATGTGAACTGGGGTTATTTATTAATTTAAGATGTTTAATTTAAATATAATTTGATGTAAAATAGTATTATGTATTAATTTACATAGACATAGAGAGAGAGATCGGTTTAAAACGTTCTTCTACGTCTTCCGATACCCAGTTGCCGTTCTTCTATGCCTCTGTCTTTCATTTCTCTATTGATGCTTTCTCTCCAACTAAGGCGGGAACTTTCTCTTTGTTTTCTACCGTAATGGGTCCACATTAAGACTTGTTTTGGGAATCGTTCTTTCAGATTCTATACATGACCGTACCATCTGAGTTGTTGGGTAGCAATATAGTCTACTATTGTATGTATTACTTTTATAATTCCTCTTCTTTATCTTTATCTTTATCTTAATCTTTACTTTTTCTTATTCTGTTGTTCGTTACTCTTTCTAGTCTAGATTTTCCAGCTGAACGTCTCCAGAAGTCTATTTTCGTTGCCTCAAGTTTTCTCTTGTATCTTTCCTTTATTTGCCATACTTCGCTACTGTAGGTAATTAAAATTTTATTGATTTTATTGTATATCTTGTGTTTATTATTATTAGAAATTGATTGATCCCAAAGGATACTATTGAGAAGCGAAATTGCTATTCCTGCTTTTTTGTTTTTCTCCTCAATTGTGTCGTCTACGTTACCATCTTTTGTGATGATCATTGGTTTCTTAATCCCAAACCTAATTTTCCAGCACATCCCACTTCTTCACGTTCACTAACTTATTGTTAATTACCTGGTATTTCGTAGGTATTATTGTTCTGAAGATATTTTCTTGTGGAATTTTAAAGTAATTACATACTTTTTATATGGGAATAAGCCACAATTAAAGGTTAAAGTAAGTTTATTGACGTTTTCAATATTCACTTCGGAAATTGTTCTCAAAATACAAACATTATTCACTAATTTTTGTATTTTGAGAACGATTTCCAAAGTGGAAATTGAAACGTTATAAACTTACTTTAACCTTTAATTGTGGCTTATTTCCATTTAAATGGTAATTTTTTCGTAGTTATTATTGCGGTGTTTAGCTTTATATAATATTACGTCATTATTTTTGTCTGCTTTTGCAGCCTAACTAAATAATCTTAAGACAGACGTACTTTGCTTCGCGTTTCAGGACTTTTACTTGGTCTTAGGTAGGCAGAAAGTTGACCACAGATGTGTCTACGATAACACCTACACCATGACGATATGATGGGGTGTTGTTGGCGAGAAAATATGATATACCGTTACATTGGCCATTACTGAGGTCCAAGATAATAAATTTGTGTCGTATCAGTTCAGCTACCATATTCTCCAGTTTTCCTGGAGCGTGTAGACTTTTAATACTCAAGTAGCAACTTTCATTATTAACCCGGAGATTCTTAGCACTCTCTGACCATCGAAGGCCGGGGACTGAGGGACTGTGTTAAAGTTTGCTAAGCCATGATTTATTTTACGAAGAAAAATATTGTAAAGTGGTTTTCCGCTGCTTCCTTCATCATGTTAGAATAACTGTTTAGACTTCTATAGTCGCACTCATGGTTTTTTCAGTAATTAACCGGTTCTGAAATAAGTTGTTTACGCTTCACATTGGTCATGAGAATAGCTGCTGCCCCATTTCATTTGCTTTTAATCCAAGAAATTCTTTACAACCAGTTTTTTTTTACTTTTTATTCATTTCCTTAATAATTTGCCCTTGCAACTATATCCAGTAATTTGGTTCCTCCACCAGTACTAACCTGACATAATTTAGCAAACAGGGCATTTGCATTAAACCTTTCTCCTTGTACCGTTATGTAAGTATATATATGTAAGACTTCTTTATGTGCTGTTTTCTACCCAAGGTTGGCGACCATGAAACAATCGGTTTGTCTGTTTTACACCGCATGTATTATGTTTGCAGCTTCTGTTATTTGGACCCATTGTCTAAGTTTCTCAACCAAGATTTTTTCTTTCTATCCAAATCTCTTCTACCTTTAATCTTGCATTTCACTGTAACCTTTAGCAAACTCTACTTACCATTACATATATTATTGCAGATATGTAAGACACTTATTATATTAATTTTGCTTATTAGAGGTTTAACATTATGTCAATTTGTATTTAGAAACCTATAACAACTGTAACATTTCTTCTGTATTATAATCAAAAGCATCCCTTATATTACTGCTAATGCTTTTCTTTATATAAATTTGCTTCTGTCGTGATCTCAATTTATTCTTCTGAACTTTGTCGAGCCAATTTTGGTCATAGTATTTTTATTTTGTATTGCTAAACATAATGACTCGCACAATCTTTATTACAACTATTTCATTTTGTTTTGATTTTAGCTGCACGTTGCTTTCAGTACAATGATGGTCAAGTAGAAAATATCGCAGAAATCTTTCTAGTAATGGGAACCGATAACCTAGACAAATGGAACAGTAATGGAGCCGTCACCAGAAAAGCTAGGCGAGTAGATGTACATCCCGATTATAAAAAAAATAAAGAATCTGCTAATGGGGATATTGCTATTATTTTATTAGGTAAGGAATAATCAACTTTAATTAGTTATATTAATGTTGTAAAAAATTATTTTGTCTCTCGGATGCACAAACAAAAAGGGGGGGCCTCATTAATAGCAACAGACATGTTGTAGTTTGTGAACAAACGAAAAATTGGTGAATAAACTACAAAATGAAATTTGCTAAACAATAAACATATCTATATATAATTCGCCAAAATCAACAAAAGCAAAACCTAGCATAATGAGAAATGTTTCACGCAAGTTACATTTATTATGTTTAAACCTATTTAATACTAATTTTCTAATTGGTATAAGGGTACTCTTAAAAGCCTTGTGATTATTACTATTTCAATTAAAGAAAATGTGGATAAGACTTAACACATTTTTTATACAGTATTAAAGAGTAATAACTTAAAAAACTAAGAAAATATCGGCAAAACATCTTTTAAAACAGTGGCGCACCCATGGAAGGTAAACCTCTACACACGGAGAACAGCTGGAGTCAATCAGTTTCCAGCTGTTTCCAATCAGTTTTTAGCTGTTCTCCGTGTGTAGAGGTTTACTCCCCGGCTCTGGAACTCACTTCAGCAATGTAATGTTACCTGAAGTCATATTTAATTTAATACTGAACATCATAGTTTTTTAACAACAAGATGTATAAATCTTTTACTAATGTAATTTAAAGGGTTTTTACCCATGTATTTTGGTGCTCAGGCATTTTAACCTAGCAATTTTAAAAATTTAAACCTGATGATGGACTGTTTAGTCCGAAAACGTTTGTTTTTTTTTGATGTAGCCCTTTTAAGGGTTTTTAAATAAATATACCCACTTACGAAGACTAACCTTTTTTTATAAAGGAACAAAGAAAGTGCAACGTAAATTTAAATTTTAAAAAACTGCTAAAATTTAGGGTAGTGCAGGATTATCAAAAGGACATACAAGAAAAATACGCCAAACAAGATAGTGCTACTGTGAGTAACATTACAACAAAAGTTTTTGAAAATGACTATCCTTGTAAGAGGTAATATATAAAGTGCTTGCCATATGAAGGATCTTGCAAGGGAAGATCAACAACGGATCCAATTTTTAAGGTAAAACAAATCCTGATCATTTGCTACGAATACATTTTAGCACAAGTACCTTTTATTGATTAGAAAGCCGCCTACGATATAATAGCCAAAAACAAATTAATAGAATCGCTAAAAGAATTCCAAGTGTCAGAAAAAATAGTAAGATTGGTAAAAATGAAAATTAGACAAACCATGTCTGCTGTGAAATGCAACGGGACAGTATCAAAAGAATTCAAAGTGAAAAAAGATGTTCACCAAAGAGATCTGTTGTCTACCTTGCTATTCAATATAGTTCTAGAAAAAAATGTCAGAATCACTGGGATAAAATAGGTCTGGCACTATATTATACGGCGCTCCTCTAAATTGGAGGTGGAGGATGAATTAGTTTGTAGAATTCGAAAAGGTGGATGAATTTATGTATATAGGTACTCTTATAGATTAGACATGTAAGGAAGAAACTGAAATCAACCCAAGATTAACCAAATGCAACAGGTATGCTGGCACTATAAGCAATATAATTAAGGCCAAACATATATCTCGCAATACAAAAACAACAGGTATGCTGGCAATATAAACAGTATAATTAAGGTCAAACATATATCTCGCAATACAAAAATAAGAGTATACAAAAGTATAATTAGACTCTTAATGCTATACCCTGTCGAGACATGGACAATAAACAAAACTATAAAAAACAGATTGGAAGCATGGGAAAGAAAGATACTTTGCAGAATTTTTAGTGGAGAAGTAGTAGAGAAAGAATGGAGAAGACGAACTAATGCAGAAGTGTACCAATTTCATGCTAACTCTACAATAACAAAAGTGGTGAAAAAATGTAGACTAGAATGGCTTGAACATCTAGAAAGAATGCAAGGTAATAGACTAGTCAAGAATATTGTTTGGAAAGTACCTAAGGGTAAAAAAAAAGGCAGGAAGCTTACACTTAAGTATGTTAAATTAAACTAAAACCCAAATTTTAAGGACTTGAAATGAAGGTAGCATAAAAAAAATTTCGGTGCCCATCTAACCTCCTACTAAAAAATTCCAGGTGCGCCACTGTTTTGAACGTGTCCATGTCGTTTAATTTTCAAAAAGAACTCTTAGGAAAGCAACACAAAATTTATTATTAGTATTAAAAATTATAAACGTAGTGGTTTCCAGATTTGCTTTTCTTTTTTTCCTGCTTCTCCCCTTTGGATAACTTTGATCATATTCGTGTAAATAATTTATCAACCGCTTTCTTATACAGTTCGGCAGATGACGTTCATAGTTGTCATTGATCTGCACTTGTTTTGTAAACCTTTTTGATTATTGATTTCAAATTTTTTGTTCCTTGGGTTCATATGAATTTAAAGTTATTCTTTAAATTTAAATCTTTAAATTTATGTAATCACTTTAATCTTTCACCGATCTTCTTTATCTTTTCTTCTTTAAATTTTGTTACTTTGCTATTAAATTTTATTTCGGTTTTAACAATTAAGTCACTTAGTTGAATAACTTCCTTCCTAACTCCAAGATTTTCTAATAAGTCTGTCAATTTGTCGTAAAATTTATCCTTTACCTTTTCAGAAGATAATTGATGGATTCGACCGTTACTTGATGGAAATTCATTTTATGTAACAATAAAACACTGAAAACTTTGTTTTCAAACTTCCACAAAATTTATTTTGACTATTATCACTACAGCTGTTTCGGCTGATTGCCTTTCTCAAGTGATCTATTTTTGGCTTGTGTTTACAAATTTATAGTCACTAATGAAATAGGTTGAGGAGAGGAGAACTGTTTGTCTCAAGTTGGTCATTCAGAATTATATCTGTGTTTTTTAATTTGTTGATTTCCATAGATTCTAACAAAGATAGCTTAAGGCCTTTATTTTGAATGTGAATTGTTAAATTTGTCATTAAACGAATGATTATGATCTAGAAGGTGAAGTGCGTATGTCGAATCTGTTTTTCTATTATTGAAAGCCCTTTTATGTTCTGCTATTCGTTTATTAACGTTTCTACCAGTTTGACCGATGTAAGTTTTTGGGCAGTCGCCACATTGAAGTTTGTACACACCACTATTTAAGTGTTTTTTTATTTTGGCTCTTGTTATTTTTAATATATTTGTCTAGGTTGTTATTTGTTCGGAAAGCTGGTGTTATTCCTTTCTTTTTTATGTGTTTGGCAATTTTTGTTGTTATTTTGCCTGTATATGTAATCGAGCAGAAGGTACTGGGTTTTTTTGCTGGTGGTGGAAATACTAATTTCAGGGCTTTCCTGTGTAGTTGCTTAATTATATTTAATTCTGTCTCAAAGTTGTATTTTGACATCGGAATTTCTGTTAATCTATGTAACATACTATGATAAGCTGCCAGTTTATGTTGTGTTGCATGGGATGATGAATTGTGTATAGTCGTGTCAGTATGGGTAGGTTTATGAAATATGGAGAAGTCATGTTTGTTTTGAAGTCTGCTAATTTTCAAATCTAAAAAATGTATGGATTGATTTTGTTCTGTTTCTATTGCGTGTAGATGTGTGTAGTGAAACTAAGAATTCCTGTTACAAAGAGAATAAAACAGCAATTTCAATTAAAAATAAATCAATAGAAAACAACATTGTGTTTACAAAAGCAGACAAAGGTAACACTACTATTGCTATAGATAAAATAGAATATAATAACAAAACAATAGAATTCTTAAATAATCAAAATATTGAAACTTTACACAAAGATCCGACAAAAAAATATCAAAAACAAATTAAGCTAGCGTTAGAAAATTAAAAATCAATACTAAATCCAATAGAACAGAAATACCTCAATATCATGAACCCACAGCCTCCTAAATTATACTCTTTCATTAAACTACACAAACCGGATCACCCAATAAGACATGTAGTTTCTTTTTATACAGTTCCGTCATATAAACTTTCAAAAAAACTGTTAAGAGATTATTTTAGAACACACTAAATTTTCACTTAAATTACCATAAAAATACAATAGAACTAGTTAATAAAATACAACATTTTCAATTACCCAACAAATCCAGATTAATTTCATTTGACGTAAAAAATCTTTTTCCTAGTATCCCTCCTACAGAAACTTGTATTCTAGTAAAAAACCTTTTAGACCAAAATAGTACAAATCCAATAATTACATCTGAAATTTTACATCTTCTTGAAGTTTGCATAAACCAGGACTACTTTGAATTTAATAATAAAATATATACAAATAACAGTGCAGGACTTATAATGGGTAATCCTCTAAGCTCATTGCTATCAGATATTTTTATGGATCATCTAGAGACAAAGATTTCAAAACATCCATAAATTGTTTAGATTTGAAAATTAGCAGACTTCAAAACAAACATGACTTCTCCATATTTCATAAACCTACCCATACTGAAACGACTATACGTAATTCATCATCCCATCCAACACAACATAAACTGGCAGCTTATCATAGTATGTTACATAGATTAACAGAAATTCCGATATCAAAAATACAACTTTGAGACAGAATTAAATATAATTAAGCAAATAGCAGTAAACAACGGATACAACGAACAAACAATTAATAAAATGTTAAATCAAAAACTACACAAGAAAGCCCTGAAATTAGTATTTCCACCACCAGAGAAAAAACCCAGTACCTTCTGCTCGATTACGTATACAGGCAAATCAGTAGTAGTCTAATCCAAGGGCCTTACTTTATAAAGGAGCCGTACTAGACAGGTTACGAGTTAGTGGTTCTTCAGAGCTTTTCCTGGTTTTATCCTAACAGGATAGAATAATTAATATCGAATTTCCATATATAAACTTGGGATCTGGATTCGTTATACATATGAATAAAAGTGGAAAAGTAGTCACAGGTGTTACATGAATCAATATATCTATAGAAAGAAAAAGTGTTGTAAAAACTCCCAACAAGTACTTCTAGCCAAAGTGTAGATATATTTTTTTTTCAAATTGATTAATATTTTTCAAATCTACGGAATTGTTTTCATGTTGAATTTATATTTTAGATCTTATAGTACAATTTACCGATGTCCTCAGTCCAGTATGTCTATGGAAAGGCCAAAGCGATCTCCATACGCTGACCAATAAAATGGGAATAATAGCAGGTTTCGGTCAAGACGAGAACTCTCTCCAAGAAGGTTTGACGCATGTTTTTAGAGCTAAACGAGCGGTTATGCCTATTGTCGATCAAATCGAATGCTTAACAAGTCCCCTGGGATTACAGCAGCTTGTTTCTGACAAAACTTTTTGCACAAGTAAGTAATTGAGGCAATAAATAATTACTTTTGTGAACACGTATATCAAAAACTTTTGAAAATTAATATTAAACTCAACAGTCTTCCAGGTTTAACCGGGTCGATTATTATTGGGCCGGGCTCTCAACATCATCTTAGATGTTCTACCTTTATTTTACTATTTATTAAACTTTTTTTTTTTGTTTGAAACGTTCTAAATATTTGGAGTTTCTTTTCTCATGCAGCTTGGCATTCTCCGTGGATGTGTTAGTTGTTGCTCTGGAAACCTCAGAGTCTTCTAACATTATCGCCACAAATTGGTCGCATTGTTCCTGTAGTGATCCATGCTTTCTCAATATATATATATATATATATATAAATATATATATATATATATGATTATGCTTTAAAACTGATAACGGATGCAAAATATTTAGAACCACCACTTAGAGAAGATGAAACTGTCTTAAATGTTTCTAGACATTATGATGCCGCTGTTGTGCAAACAGTAACCATAAAAAATATTCAAACAATAGAGAGTTTTATTAATTTTATTCAAAGAATACAAAAAGGTAATATGGCAGGTAGTAATGATAACAATAATATTACGATGAATCACAATAATAATAGAAAAAAAAAATAATAACTTTCAATATAATAATAATAATAATAATAATCATCAATCAACAAATGAAAATGGAATTAACATCAGAGTTCATACGAAGAGTAAAACAGCTACTCCGCTCACATCTTAATAGTAAAAATTTGTTTAAGGCATTAAACACCTATGCATTTTCCGCGCTTAGCTACTCATTTGGTATTATTAAGTGGACTAAAACGGATATAGAAACTCTTCAGAGAAAAGTACGAACACACCTCACAAAGGCACAAAAACACCGTCCTCGAAGTGCAGTAGAAAGAACGACATTACCGCGGTATTTAGGAGGACGAGGACTTATTGATATAAGCGAGCAATTAGAAAAACAGATTACTAATTTAAGAACTTAAGAACTGACTATATTTAGTATACGGCACTTGTCTAGTCCAAAATGCATACTGATGTCATTTGAGAAATTTTCTACAGTTTTTAGCATCTCATCTAGGTGGTTTCGGGTGGAAGCCATTAATTTTAAATCATCCATATACAACAGATGATTAAGCTTCGCTACAACGGTGTTGTTATTTTTAATGCTAAATCCTGAGTCAGTAGAGTTCAGCAGCTGAGATAGTGGGTTCATCGCTAGGCAGAACCAAAGTGGACTCAACGAGTCCCCTTGGAAAAGGCCCCGGTTAATAGGGATATCTTCAGTTTCGATATTAATTTCACCAGGTATTTGAAGGTGAATTTTAGTCTTCCACTCTGCCATTATATGCTTCAAAAAGGTCACGAGATTATCATCGACTTTATATATTTTTAATATATCTATAAGCCATTCATGCGGCACTGAATCAAAAGCCTTCTTGTAGTCAATGAAGGCAGTAAAAAGGTTTCTTTTTTTGGTGTATGCCTGGTTAGAAATGACTGAGTCGATAATAAGTTGTTCTTTGCATCCCATGGAGCCCTTAGCGCATCCTTTCTGTTGGGGCTCTATGATATTGTTCAGAGCACAGTGTTGGTAGATACGCCGGGCCACACAGGATGTGACCAATTTGTACAAAGTTGGAAGACAAGTAATTGGGCGGTACTTGGCTGGATCTTGGGTGTTATTTTGATCCTTCGGTATTAGATAAGTGGTTCCCTGAGTAAGGAATGATGGTATTTCCTGTGAATTAGAAATAATATTATTAATAAATACTGTTAAAAGCTCATGAACACTCCAAAACTTCTTTAGCCAGAAGTTTTGAACTCCGTCCGGTCCAGGAGATTTCCAGTTATGAAGCTCTTTGATAATGTTCGAGACTTCTTCAGTGGTGAAAGGTTCATAAGGAATATTCCTGTAGTGTTGACATTTGTTCGTGGTGTCTTCAATCCATCCAGCATTGTTGTTATGGGTAGCTGGCGTCGAAAGTTGGTTTCCCCAAAACTCATGAATTTCTTCTTGGCTTGGGTAGGATTTATTTGCGTTTTCTACAGTGGAATTAAGTTTCCTATAGAAAGTTTTCTCTGCTTGCTCAAAAAGTATATTGTCGCATTTCCGGTTGTTACTAACTTTGTATCTTCTCAGGCGGCCTGAGTAAACAGATAGTTTTTGTTTTAATGTGTCCAGGCATTGTTGAGGTGTGTTGTTTTCTGGATCATATCGTGAGTGTCTTAGAGTGTTAAACTGTATTTCTTCAGCTCTTTTGATGATTTTTCTACTTCTCACTCCTCTTATGTACTCTGTTATTTGTCCAATGTCCCTACGCAGTAATTCGATCTTATTCAGCAGTCGTTTTTCCCAGGGTGCTATTCTGTTACCAGTCCTTCCGATGTTGGTACCCCGTCGTGTTCTGATCTTAATGCCCATAACATTAGCAATTGCTGTTGCTGCACAGTAAATCAGCATATGCAAATATTCCAATGTGTGGGCTTCTGTGATATAATTGGGTAGGACTTCAGTGTTCACAATTTGTAACAGCGCTCCTAGTTTCTTGGAAGAGTTTATTTTTGGTAGCGGTGGTCTGCTAAGTGGGTTTGTTCCACTAAACTCTTGTACGGCGCGCGCCATTTCGTTTGCCAGACTATCGTGCAACTCGTTATTGTCCTGCTGTGTATTATTAGGTTGAGTTTCTTGTATGAGAATCTCAGGAATCTGCTCATTTGGGACTTCATTATGGTCTTGATTCACAACTAGCTCTTGGTTATGAATCTCCCGTTCGACTTCGCGTCTGATGGTGTCGCGTCTATTCTCTGGAATAAGATTGTTTCTTAAAATTACCCGGTATTGATCTGCTACTCTTTGTTCAGATACTTGGATTTCTGGGTACTCCCTGCAAAATTCGGCATACAGTTGTTGTCGATAGCCGATTGTTTCTTGACCGAGGTTTGTCACCTTATAATAAAAGCGCAAAATATTTTCGTTTATGGACACTGTCCACTTCATACGCTGCCTCGGTCGTCCCGCTTGAGTGAGCGCCGGCTGATGTTCCAGCGCAGCACCTTCAGCGAGTGGAGCTCTTGTTGTTGTTTGACTCACTTGTGGTTGTTGTTGTTGTTGGGCTGTAGCTGATTGTATGACAGGGGCCCGCCTCCTCAACACCCTGCCACCGACGTCCCGCATGCTGTCACGTCCAGCGCCGGCTCCAGACGTGCCCTGGCGATCCCCAGGCAGCGACCCTAAACATAAATTAATAAACTCCATTATCATGGGTGTGCATTTTATACCTACTGCCAGGTGTCAGTTTTTGTTCCACGACAGGTATTCCTGTTACCCTCTGGGTATCTGCGCTACGGATACCCAGAAAGCATCCCCCATTCGCAGGGGGCCGCGCCTGATAGAAGAACTGATAAAAACTCCCACAGGCTGGATCATCAATCAACAAATGAAAATGGAATTAACATCAGAGTTCATACGAAGAGTAAAACAGCTACTCCGCTCACATCTTAATAGTAAAAATTTGTTTAAGGCATTAAACACCTATGCATTTTTCCGCGCTTAGCTACTCATTTGGTATTATTAAGTGGACTAAAACGGATATAGAAACTCTTCAGAGAAAAGTACGAACACACACCTCACAAAGGCACAAAAACACCGTCCTCGAAGTGCAGTAGAAAGAACGACATTACCGCGGTATTTAGGAGGACGAGGACTTATTGATATAAGCGAGCAATTAGAAAAACAGATTACTAATTTAAGAACTTATTTTCAGGTGCAGGCCGAGACATCTACTCTTCATCGCGCGATTTGTGCAGTAGATGATACAACACCGATCAAACTGAGGGAACAAGAAATGCGCATAGACCATCTTACTAAGAACGAAAAAATGCGCATCTGGATGGGTAAACCTCTACACGGGCTACATCCGAATGAGGTCAGTCAAGACTATGTCGACAATATAGCGTCGAACTGTTGGCTGACATCAGGAAAGATGTTCCCTGAAACAAAAGGTTCATTACTCGCCATTCAGGATCAGGTTATACCAACCAAAAATTACCTGAAATATATTGTCAAAGACCCTCAGGTCCACAACGACAAATGCCGATATGGATGCCAAGCCCAAGAAACGATCCAACATCTTACCGGAGGCTGCCAGGCATTTGCTGCAACTGAAAATAAGGAACGGCATGACTCAGTAGGAAAGATCCTCCATCAAGAGATAGCTATTAAACTGGGACTTCTACAAACAAACCATCTCCCATATTATCAATACGTTCCAGAGAGTATGCTTGAGAATGACAACTACAAGCTATACTGGGATCGCACTGTGCTCACAGACCAAACTGTAGCACATAATAGACCAGATCTCGTGCTAGTTAATAAACTAACAAGACAAACAACTCTAATCGATGTGGCGATACCTAACAACAATAATCTGCGTGTTAAGTACAACGAAAAGATCGCCAAGTACAGAGATCTGGAAATACAAATAAGGAGACAATGGAGAATGGAAAGTACCCAGACGATACCTATTATTCTTTCTACCACTGGAGTCATTCCGAAGAACCTCCTAGAAAACATAAAAAAGCTGGGTCTAAATGAACATCTATATAAGATCATGCAGAAATCTGTGCTACTTTCGACGTCCCGATGCGTGCGAAAATTTTTGGGAGATACACCGACGTACCAAGTTACCTAGGACTCGATAACATGGAAAGAGTCCCACCAGAGCTCAATCCTTTTGATACCGTAGGTATCTGGGATGAGTGAATTTTCCCCTTAGAGGGAGTGTGAGCCGTATGGCTAAATCTGGATCATCAATCAATCAATAATAATAATCCTGTGGGAGTTTTTATCAGTTCTTCTATCAGGCGCGGCCCCCTGCGAATGGGGGATGCTTTCTGGATATCTGTAGCGCAGATGCCCAGAGGGTAACAGGAATACCTGTCGTGGAACAAAAACTGACACCTGGCAGTAGGTATAATATTCACACCCATGATAATG